TTAATTTTTTTTTGTTTTGTGTGGTTTTTCCCCAAATTCATGCTCAATAAATTAACTTTAGTAGCAAACTGTTGTCATAAAGCATTAATAAGTTTTAATTGTGATGGTTTCGTTCTGCCGGTACGTAGTCTGTTGTTATGAAACATGAAACAAATACCTACAACGTAGAGCGCAAACTCGTTAATAACGGGTACGTACAACATAAAATAGCGGCCGTGTTCTGTTTTATTTCATTACAATTAAATAACATGTCTGTTTGATGGATACTTATAAGATATATGTTATTACGGCATGTTATTTACAAACGTTATTTCTAACATAACATTTTAACGTAAATGGGATACATACTCGGCCTGATTATCTTAATCATTAAATATTCTTTAGGTAGGTAAGTACCTATCGGAAGCTCCAGTCAAAAATGTTTCAGTATGTGCTCTTTCCAATACTGCAGTTTTTTTTGCTTTGTATCCTCTCGATTCACGCTTCAAATAAGTAATAAGCTTGTTATATTATGCAATATCTATATTGTTCTATACCTTTATGGTAGTCTTCTTCAACGTCGAATATTTCGACCACTTAGATGAAATTGCATATTTTTTCTTCTTTAAAAATTACGATAGCATGACTTCTTCATTTATTGTCATTACTCTCCATTTTTCTCTGAATTTGTTAAATTCAGCGAACACTTTTTCGTAATGTTCCCTGGATTTCGCTGGCAATAAATGGAATATTGCTTCTTGAGCTTCTTCAAAAACAGCCACAGGAACACAATTACTTTCTTGCATTTTGATGAATTTATTCATCAAGTTCTTGACGAATTAGAACTTGATGTTATTTGACAACAGATTTGGTGCATTACACTTGTCCAATTTCTTGATGAAGCGACTTCATGAATTAATTGATCAATAAATTGTCAATGTAAAACAGCTATTAAATAATTGATAATAAACAATGTACCATAGCAACCAGTAGGTATAACAAAACCTATCACGTTTCATTGAGTACTAGTAAGAAATATCAATTATAGATAAAATGTTGTACTGCATTCATGTTTTAATTGCCTTTTATCCACTTAAGAATATTAAACACTCGAACTACGTTATCGTGTTAAAATATTCTTGCGTGGATAACATGTTACTTAAAACACTTATACAGAGTGTCCCAGAATAACGTGTACAACGGAAGACCACAGATTTGTGGACTCAAAATAGGCAGATTTAGGCTAATTCACCTATATCCGAAATCGCTTCGTTTGTCCGCTAGATGGTCTTACAGATCGTGAAAATTTTTTAAATTTTTGCAAATAACATATATTCGATTTTTATTATTTTTGGGGTATGCACTTTTGTTTTCAGTCTACACATTTTAGTGTTATATAGTGTTTTTTAAAATTTACAACTACAAAATTAATGTATGGTGATAATATTTGTTCATAACTTTTTCCTCTTTCGGACAATAATAACTATTTTTTATTTGATAGGTTATACCATTCAGAAGTTTTTGGGCCTCTTGTAGAATTTTGATTAAATGAGCAATATTTTTTTAAAGTATGCATTATCTTGCCACCCATATTACAAAGTACTAGTAGGCTCTGATTTTGTAGGTTGACTGTAATTTCAGTTTGATCTTTAACAGTATATTATCTAGGCTTTAAATCATTGTACCTGCCAATTCTATTTTACTAGAAGCAGAACAATAAATATTCACAATGAACATGTGTATGCTCAAAAAAATGCACATGCTGTCAAAATAAAACTTTATCAGCATGAATTTCGCATCAATGTTTGGTTTGGGATCATTGATAGCATTATTGGCTGTTATTCTGCCCAATATACTGAATGGGAAATTTTATTTAGAATCTTTGCAAAACCCGAGTTATTGGAAGATGTGCCGTTATTACTCATAGCTAATATGTGGTTTATGCATGATGGCGCTCCACCACATTTCACTGTAAATGTCCGGCAGTATCTGAACCAAAGATTCCCTCGTCGATGGATGGGTAGAGGGGATAATGTTTCTGTTAACTGACCTGTACATTCACCAGACTTAACACCTTGCAACTATTATCTTTGGGGCACTCTGAAAACAACAGTGCATGCTTCGACATCTAACACTGAAGAAGAGTTGTGGAGGTATATCCAAAATGCCATATAAAAAAATAGCCCTTAAGAACTGCAAAGGGTGTACTTTAATTTTCTTTGCCGAATTAACCTTTGTTGTAGAAACAACAGTGGTCATTTTGAACAGTTTTTTATAATAAGTTGTACTAAATTTAATAACATCAACTTTGTTACTTTTATCTCCAGCATTTTTTATTGTATTTGATCGTTTTTACGAATTATTCAATAAAATTAAGCACATTGTAAATAACTCTAATTTGTCGTATATGAGTACCTATCCATATCGAAAAATTAAGTAACATATGGTTTATTGTAGTAAACACTCATTAAGAATTGGCAGGTACAATGCTTTAAAAATCAGACTGAAATTACAGTCAACCTACAAAATCAGTGACTAGCACTTTGTTAAGTATTATAATATGGACGGCAAGATAATGTACATTTAAAAAAATTTTTTTCTACCCAAACCGCTCATTTAATCAAAATTCTATAAGAGGCCCAAAAACTTCCAAATGGTATCTGTCATCTATCAAATAAAAAATATTTGTCATTATTGACTGAAACAGGAAAAAGTCAATTTTGTAGGAGTTGTGTGTTTTAAAAACACTATATAACACCAAAATTTGTAGATTGAAAGCAAAAGCAACACGTCAAAAATAATCAAAATCAATTAATACGTATTCGAGTAATTTACAAAATTCAAAAAAATTTGAGGCCATTTAGCGACCAAACAAGGCGATTTCAGATATAGGTGAATTAGCGTAAATCTGCCTACCTTGAGTCCACGAATCTGTGGTCTTCCGTTGTACACGTTATTCTGGGACACCCTGTACAATAAATAACTACTTGTTACCCAATAAAAATATTCAAATGTTAAAGAAATTATAAATATAAATCATATTTGCCTAGGAAGATGAGGACTTATTTAAATTTCAAATAGCAGAATGGGATCCAGTAATTGAATGGTTTAATAAAAGATTCAATGTACAATTAAAGAAGTCAACTCAGATGGATGTTCCGCCTGTTAGCGACCAAGATAAGAATACACTCTCTAAACATTTGATGTCGTATAATTTTGCAGCTGTCAATGGTAATGTATTATGTTATATATAGAGGGTATCGTAATCTCTTTTGATGGGACTGCCACAGATTCTTGGAGTTAAAATGAGACGATATAACTTAGAGTATGCAAAGTTGCTTCATGTGTCTGCACAGGGCATTAAAATAATTATTACATTACAGAAAAATTTGAAAAATGCCCTGGCTATATATTTTCAAGTGTTTTTACAACTTCAGTTCTTATTTTATCAGAAATATATTTATTGCAAACGATCACCACTTTTAGTAGGACATAAATTCAATCAAAAAATAATACCACTCATCTCAGATTTTTCACTTTCTCTAACGGTGACTATCAAATTTTTATCTGTAATTATTCTTATTTGAGGAGCGTTAAATTAGATAAAATCTCAAATCAGTGTGATTATGTTCTTTTGCTTTAGTTTCTGGAAACGGTTTCTGATAATTGTCATGAAGGAACAACTGATTTATTACAAATTTCTGAAGCTGAATTTCGTTTTTACTGTCAAATATATCAAATCTTTAGTACAAGTGGATTAAATTTGTGTCAAAAATGCATTAGTGATGACAAAATAATAAATTATATAGAAACCATTAATACAAAAATTTTATGACAGAAAACTAGAGAAGTGCCCCTTTGGAAACTGAACTACTTAATTAAAAAAAAAAACTGTAAAAACAATATGAACACATTTGCTTAAAGGTAATTTGGATGTAGGTAAATTTATTTAGTTAAATCTTGGTTTAATCCCAAAAATCTGTTGTAATTCCAAGTTCATGGAATACTGGGACACCCTATATAATTTTTGTATCACTATGTTCTGTATACTTAAAAGCTATAGCTTTGAATATTGAATAATTGCATATTGAACTGAAATCATGCTCCTAGCAATTAAATTATGGTAAAATTAAAACAATAAGATCAAGATTATATTAAAACACAAGATTCTGTTTCACCGGCTGTGATTGATGTAATTTTGTACGAGATTTTATTCAACCTGTCCTTGTTCATTGTAAACAAATCATTAATAATGGGGACCAGTATCTGCAATGTTGGCTACCTAATCACGGTAGTCATGTGGCTTGTAAACATTTATGAAGACTATACTTCTATTATGTCAGTCAAAGGGCCGCAAAAGGCAGAAGTTGAGAGTATATAAGGCAAAAAGTTATTTAGTTATTTCTACAATGGAGAATATTTAAAAAAAAATCAAATATAATACTAAAGAAAAATTTTTATATTAAATTTTATTTAGAATAATTTTTCATATACATAATTTTATCTTAACTGCGATAATTTCAACAAATTTCTGATCTTAGGTTTTATGTATGGAATTGACACATTAAAGTCTGTAGTATTGACCTTCGCCTGTATAGAAAAACATATTACTCCAGAGAGAGCAGTTCTCTTATCTCGATTAGAAGAGGAATATCAAACTGGACACTGGGGGAGAGTAGAATGGGCTCATGACCTTAATCAACATAATCTTCAAGCTAGACTAGCAGCTGTAGTATTATTCGTGTATTTTAATTCTCAATCAAATAGTGTACAGTCTAAAAATAGTGGATAAATTTTTATGTTTTAATGAATAAATTATGTAAAATATTTAATACAAGTTCACTGTTTGATCACTGTTTTGAAAATTTCAGGAAGTAGAAATATGTATACAGGGTGTCCGGTAAGTACCTCCTAATCTCTCGGGAGTGTATAGGGGAGGTCAAAATAAAACTAGTCCTTCCTATAATTTTTTTTCCTAATGTGCCCCCTAACGGAGTTATGGGGGGTCAAAGGGGTACCTAGAAATTAACGTTTAGGGTTATAACTTTGAAACCACCCTGTATATTTTAATAAAATTTTCGTACGTTGTATTACACATGGAGCTCTACGATTTGATGCTAAAATCAACTTTTTGCTATTATCAGGTGTCCAGAAACGGACTGGCCCTATCACAATTTTTCTCAAAATTTTGACAGAAGTAATTTTATCAAACTGAAAATATTATTATTAGATACTCTGAAGGTTTTTCTTTAAAAATGGTACTCTTTATTTATTTCGAAAAAATGAACGGTTTGCGAGATAAATCGGTTTTGAAAAAAATTGGTAACAAATACAACAACAATTAAAATTTATTTTTTTTACATATTATTTCATGCATTTAATTTCTTTAACTTTATCAAGTCCAGAAATCTTTGAACGGGTTGGCTATACTTTATGAGCAAGTAGTGACCAATTAAAAATAACATTTGAAAAATAACTTACTTACAAGACATGCAACAAAGAACATTCAACAATGAACAAAGGTACCTAAATGTTACTTCGGTAGATGTTCAAAATGAGCACCCCGTACTTCAATGCACTTTCTAATCCTACGAATGTTTTCCCGGTGCACTTGAAATAATATTCCGTGATTATTGCGGAGATGGTCACAGTTCTGTGTTAGCCTCAGCAGAAGTTCCTCTCTACTATTTACGGGTGTTGAATAAACGTTATTTTTTAAATGACCCCACAGAAAAAAGTCTAATGGGTTTAGGTCGGGCGACCTAGGTGGCCATAATACAGGTCCGCCTCGACCTATCCATCGATCACCAAAAACATTCGTCAGATGTTGACGTACTAAACGATCAAAGTGGGGTGGTGCACCGTCATGCATGTACCACATTTCAGTTCTTATTTGAAGGGGCACTTCTTCTAACAAAATATTTAGATTTTCCTCTAAAAATTGCAAATAAAGAGCACCATTAAGTCTTTGCTCCAGAATAAATGGACCAATCAAATGATTCCCGATAATGCCAGCCCACACATTCACCATAAACCTTTGTTGGTAGCGAGTTTGAACTAAAGCGTGAGGGTTTTCTTCATCCCAGACATGTAGATTATGCGAATTAATTATGCCGTCTCTTGTAAAACCTGCTTCATCGGTGAACAAAATAGATGTACCAAAATTATGATTCCGAATATGATGCTGTAAAAACCAATTGGCGTATTGAAGTCTTTTTGGATAATCATCTGGAGACATAGCATGTACTTTTTGGATGTGGTACGGGTAAAGCAATTGTTCTTTCAGAGTTTCATGTACAGCCCATTTTGTAACATTGTTTTGCGCCGCAAGCTTCCTTATGCTATTTGAAGGATTATTAGCAACGTCTTCCAATATTTGTTCCTCTACATGAGGGTCTCGTACTCTCCTCGGGGCTCCTGCTCCACCACGGCGTGGCAAAAAGCTTCCTAAATAAAGGATTCGGAAGAAATTAGTTTCACTAACGTTTTTCACTATTTTTTTTTACCTGTTTCTCTTAAACTACGATCAACTCTTTCAAAAGTTTTTGGACTCGGCAAATGTCGACCCGGAAACCTTTCCTCATAAAGTCTTCTTGCCTCCACGGAGTTGCATAATGCTTCCCCATAAATTAGGTGCATATCAGCATATTCTGCACAGGAATATTCTTCCATTTTTAAATGTTATTTCTAACGGCTTAAAACGAATACCACAATAAAATTGAATTTTTATTCTGTCACGCGCCTTTGACAAGTACTTTAAAATCAACAGGGTCTAACAACGAAAACAATAGAAAAGAACTCCATGGAGACAAGAGCAATAATAATTTGTAGATGTATTTTGGTCATAGATGTTGATTTTACAAGAAACGGCATTATTCATTCCCTTAATTCACCACCAGTAAATGTTTATGGTGAATCTGTAGGCTGGCACTAGCGGGAATGATTTTATTGTAAAAAAATAAATTTTAATTGTTGTTGTATTTGTTACCAATTTTTTTCAAAACCGATTTATCTCGCAAACCGTTCATTTTTTCGAAATAAATAAAGAGTACCATTTTTAAAGAAAAACCTTCAGAGTATCTAATAATAATATTTTCAGTTTGATAAAATTACTTCTGTCAAAATTTTGAGAAAAATTGTGATAGGGCCAGTCCGTTTCTGGACACCTGATAATAGCAAAAAGTTGATTTTAGCATCAAATCGTAGAGCTCCATGTGTAATACAACGTACGAAAATTTTATTAAAATATACAGGGTGGTTTCAAAGTTATAACCCTAAACGTTAATTTCTAGGTACCCCTTTGACCCCCCATAACTCCGTTAGGGGGCACATTAGGAAAAAAAATTATAGGAAGGACTAATTTTATTTTGACCTCCCCTATACACTCCCGAGAGATTAGGAGGTACTTACCGGACACCCTGTATATTTGTACTAGAACTGTGAATTAATTTTGAGGGATTTTTTTTGTAAATTCAAGGCTTTATGGTGAAAAATTGTGCACATTGTTATTTTTCGAAGTATCGTCCATCGCTAGCCACTCCTTTTTCCAATCTTTCTGGCAGCATACTGATTCTGTGTCAAAAGAACAACTCGTCTTTTGATGTTATCCACCAATCGATCTAATTTTTCGTATTTTCGTAAGTTTGGAAGTGCTGCTTAGCCGGGCCGTATTCCATGGATTGGAACAAGTAGTAATCCAATGGAGCAATATATGGTGAACATGACGCATCAACTGTGTTCAGTAGTGTATACCAGTCATGGTTTCATTTGGTTGAAGCAGCTCATAGTACACAACACCAAGCTGGTCCTACACAGAGCATGAGCTTCGAACCATATTCCCCACGATTTTCAATGCTTATGATTATCAAGGCATATCCATTTTTCATCACTCGATATGATGCTAAAAACCCTTAGCAATTGTTCACACATGAAAAATCGCCATTCAATATCTCTCGGCTTCAATTTGTATGGCACCCAATTTCCTTGCTTTTGAATCATACGGAATGCATTTAAACGTTTGAAAACTGTTGTGCATCAACATTCAACGATTCAGCAAGTTCATCTTGTGTTTGACATGAATCTTGATCGAGTAATGCTTCCAATTCCTCATCTTCGAATTTTTTTGGCTGACTAGGGCGTTCTTTGTCAACTGTATCAAAATCATCACTTCTAAAACGTTGAAACCAATACTCACGTTTTTATCAATGGAGTAAGTATGTTCACCATTAAGTTTCCAACAGCACTCAATGACTTTCAGTAGCACTTTTGCTCAAATTAAACAGGAAAAGTAAAACTTCCCGCAATTGATGTTTTGCTGGCTTGTAATTCGACATATTCGGAGCTGACAAAATATGTTGTTTACACTTCAACAAAATGACATAATAAAAAGTAAGTATATTCTAGTATATTCTGTTATCCATATATGAAAATGAGGCAATTTTGAAGTTTAAACAATTTTGAAATCTTTTTTTATTTTAAGGATTAAAGAAATACATTTTACGTATTCTTCAATTTATTTTTACCACTTTTAACAAGTAATTCGTAGTACTGCAAATACTGCCTTTGACTTTTAGTGAGGAGGTACAAGGAATCAAGTTGCATTCCAGTTGCCTCCAGTTCCTTCAACCTTTTTCTGGTAGTCTCTACACCATGTAACAAAATTTTGGGAATTCTACAAATATGAATAGGTTTAAATCCATGTTTGAATAAAAACTCTATCATTTCGTTCATCTTTTTTAAACTCTTATTTTGTAAAGCCGGTTGCTTAGAAATTATATATTTTGCTACTTCTTCAGTGCATTCCAGCCTCTCTGATAAGTACTGAGTTAATGAACTGTCTCCTAATATTAACTTATTGTCCGAACGCCTCCGAATGTATCTAAAATGTTAGTTTATATAATATATACACAGTAATTCACATCATATGTAGATAGATACTGTTCAATTTTTAACAGTTTACTGGTTACAGAGTGTTGAAGTTAAAAAAGAAAAATATATTTTTGGCAATAGCTCAGAAAAGAACAATAATTTCTCTTTTACACTTGCTATGAGTCATCCTGCATTTCAAATAAAACTTACGTCTCAAAAATTTCAGGTTGAGCGCGTACCATCCACGTTTTAAAGCTATCAATACCATTTCTTTTTGCCGTGTCCAGTCTGTCTTCTATTACACTAGTAGAGTAACGTAATACCCACAAATCCTTAATTATTTCATCTTTGGTAATACCATTATCTACAAATTAAATAAACACTATTCAAGTAACATATTTTAAACAATTATTTTAGAGGAAAAGTTTCTTCACTACTAGACGCAGCTATCAATCTATGCAACAGCAAAATTACATATTCACAGCAGAATTATAATTTTGAATGATTTCAGAATATAAACAGATCAAAACATTTTGATAAATTTAATTGGTTCTTTAAAAAAATTCTTAAATTTTTTATTATCACAGTTAGTAATGATAGCATGAAGAAACTTCCAACTGATTATTTTGGAGTTAAATTATTTTCTAGAAAAAATTTAAATTACCTGTTAATAATTTGATATTATTTAATAATTGATTCAAATTAAGTGAGAGCAGAAAATTTTTCTTAGCAAAAATCTGGCACACTTTGGACTTCTCTATCTAAAAGTAGAAAATAAAAATCTAACGTTAACTTCTTATAAACATTAAAAGCGCTTTTCCTGGTTAAAAGATATAATTCTTCTTTGTTTAATGGTTAAATATATTCAATATTTGCAAAATTTGTAAAATCAGTTGAAATATATATATATAGTAAACTTTATCTCCAAGAAAACTTATCAAAAATTAGGCGTTATAATTTACACATTTTCACATACCAGCAGTATTTCTGATATTAATGCAATACGATTTGTTTCAATTTCTCCATTAGTGTAGGTTTTTAAACGTTGATATGGCAAGGAAAGCAATGGTGCCGTTATATTAACATCATAAGGCAATTCTTTTAATTCTGATATTTTCAATGGAAGATCCAATTCAGCTAATACTTCTGGAAATTGTTCTAATGTTACGGGCAAAATGCCATTTTCCAGAGAACATGTAAAGTTGTATACAATGGTATTCACCGAAATTTTGTGAAATTTTTTATTCTTCAATACGATATCTTTTGCTATGATAGATTTGAAACCAAGCAATTTTTCTAATATTTTTGCAGAACCACTTCGACTCGCTTTATCATCTACCTTTATACTATTTAAGGATTCATGTATTTTTGTAGATTTTTTTTTAATGCTAGAAAGAAATCTTAATCTTGAAGGTAAATTATTTATTACTAGAGCATCTTTATTCCACAACATCCTGCCGCTGTATTTTTTATCTATATAAAATATTTTTACTAATTTTTTAAGCATATTTTCTAGTTACATTTTCGTTACGAAAATTTCACACCACAAATTTTTTAATGTATGTTTGTTGTTTGTTTTATTTACCACCATAGAAAATATAGCGTTGGTACCTTATTTTCTATGGTTTACCTCACGTGGTTTACTATAGAATAGGATAAGTGTGTATTAAATCTATGCCATAGATTTGACAATATAATGGATGTAATATAGGAGAGAGGGCAGGGGCCAAGATGTAAAATGATATGAAACTAGTCCACCTCACTTGACTTGGAAAATTAGCATTCGCGCCATTATTCCATGGCTAGAAATTGGCCTCAATGATTTGGGATCGAGGGGGATTATCCCTCTTTATCCTGCCTCATGTCGTGTAGGCCTGGACAGCCTTCGTAGGTGGGCCTCATCCGTCGTCTACCCCGACCGCAAATGCGGCCGGTGTAGGGGCTTTGTGGGACCTTCTTTTGTCCTGGCTGGGCCCCGCCG